AACCAGGTAACAGGGATATTTTTGTGTTTTCCTCCTTTTTAATGGTGTCATTCCTAACCAAGGGGCCTGAACACCTGCATCCAGATCTGATCATCCCTCTGTTACCTATGTGTTCTGTTTCCATGACTAGATTGTTACCATTGGCCAACTGCATACTTCTGGCAGAGGTAATGCAGTCTAGAAACACATCTGTACATCCTGTAAGAAGGGATCTATATGCACATATATAGGGATCTACAATGCTTTGTCTGCCCCAAGTTAAGCTTCAGTCTAGAAGTCATCCAAAGGACTGGCTCAGGATGAATGTAAGACTCAGTGGCCTTGGTGTCTGTGAACCCTTCCCCTGCCACACAGGTGTGTGTGTGGGGGGGGGCATGACAATAGGGAGAAAAGCACTAACATCATAAATCTCAGACAAAAGTGACTAAGGGACCAGATGGGCAAAACTAGGTAAGGAACTGACTGGCTGCAGATGTTTCCCCTCTCTATACAAGCTGTTGGCTAAAGATGAGATGGAAAACAGACCTTTAAGATGCTAATTCACGGTCTTCTCAGATGACTGGCTCTCTGAAAATAACACAGCTTGAAGATTCAATTCCTGGGGTTTGCCTATACAACAGGCGGTACCTGCCCATGTATACTTCCTCCAATCCCATCCTCATCGCCAGAGAACTTTAAACACAGTAATAACTCCCTATGTATTATCAGACTGGCTTATGGTCCTCATTTTCTGAGAAGGAACAACTGAAACCTAGGTTTGAGCTGAAGATACTTGTCCTAGTGGAAGCTGAAAAGGCTACCTGGAAAACCAGAGAGGCTCGTCTAGAGTGACCCGGCCACAGGGAAGAAGTTCTTTCTATACAAATCCACCCGAACTCATCCTTACACACACACACACACACACACACACACACACACACACACACACACACACACACACACACACACACACACACACACACACACTATCCTTCCCATTTGAACACCTGAAAGTCTGCAGCAAGCTTTAAACAGATCAGATGGAGGGTTTAGTGCCTCATACCGCACAGGACCACAGCCTTCTTTTAAGTGGCTTCTTCTCAACAGCATCTTTACTTATCTTGAAACATGGATGGAGTTAGAGACTAATAGTATATCTGTTTGTCCCTGCTGATAGTCTATAAATCAGAAATGAAGACAGAGCAGTTTTGACCTGTGGCATGGAAAGAGTCCTGATAATTTAGAGGACTCCATCATTCTCAGGAAACTTGAGGTATGGCTCAGCATCCTTCCCATTCAGTACAGTCCACCAGCCCTGCACTCCTAAACAAAGAAGCAAGTATGTCAGGGGACCTGGTACAGCTGTGTTTGTCTCTATCAACCAAGTTTCCGTTAAATCCCCACAGCCTCCTCATCTTTACAGGCAAGCTTAACCAGGCCCCAAACTATCCACAGCAGTTTTCAGGCATTCTCTAGATTAATCTGAAGAAATAAAAATAACATCACTGGCCTGGGAACATGGCTCAGTTGGTAAAGTGCTTGCTGGGCAAGCTTAAGGACCTGAGTTCGATCCACAGCACACACATAAAAAGCCAGGAGCAGTTGAGAACATCTATAATCCCAAGTACTAGGGAGGCGGAGACTGGAGGATCCCAGGGGCTTGGTGGCTAAGCCAGTTAGCAAATTGGTGTGCTTCAGGTTCAGAGAGATAGACAGATACCCTGTTTCAAAAAATAAGGTGGGGAGAGATTGAGAAAGGCACCCAGTGTTAACCTCTGGCCTCCAAACACAAACACACACACACACACCAAATGTCATGTCTTTTCTGGTCAGCCTAGTGCCCACAGGGTATTTTCTGTCAGGAACCCAGTTTGCACAGGCTTGCCTTACCTCCTCACATATATGAACCAAAACTATTCAGGGATTTGTGATGAATAGGGTTGGTTTACTGAGCTGTTCTAGATGCCAGCCAGAAAAAGGATCGGGCCAAGCCTGCTCAGCTACATGCAGCAGGACCAGACAGGGTCCCAAGTAACACAGGCTGGCCTTTGACTCACTGTATAGTTCAAGATTGACCTTGAACTTCTGATCCTCCTGCCTGTACCTCTTGAGTAGTGGGATTACAGGTGTGTACCACCATGCCCAGTTTAAGAGGATTATAATGAGAATTGGGGCAAGAACATATAAGGGCAGGAAGTGGGGAAGCTTTGGGACAGAAATGCTGGTCATAGGAAAGGCACCTTCGTCCCCAGGTTCATTGGAGTCCTACGTAGGATGCTAAGGGCAATTTAGTCAAGATTCTAATTGACATTCAGCAACTTGGAATTGTGGAATGGTTATCTCCTTGGCTTGGCCCACGGTTGTTACCTGGTTACCTTCTCTTAGTTGTCTTCACTTCTATCCTCTATCCGTTGTCTTTTAGAATTTCCTCACATCCATGGCAGGGAATATGTATTAAGGGAGTAAGCCAGCAGCCTTAGAAACACATTTGGTTAGATGAATTCACAGAAGACCAAAAAACCAGTGTGAGTAGCCACTGAGTGGACTCACCAGACTAGATCTGGATGTACCTTTGCCTCAGGGAAACGAGGACGCTGATGCCACCGGAGGATCCCATGCTACAAAGGTAACCAAAGCATAGTGGAAAGATCACACAAGACCCCACAAAGACATCCCAGAGTATGAGAGAAAACATTAGTATGTGAGAAGGATGGGGAATTGAGAGCTCGACCTACAGCTGAAGTGGCAGCCTAGAAATGCATCCTTCACCCTGGAACTTCTCTCCACACAGCAGCACCCAGTGTTTCCGTGTAAGTAGGCAGACCATCGGACCTCAGCATACTTGTTGGAGGCCTCTGTTACGCAAAGTAGAAGCCCCTTCACGACCGGACAGCTCATGCAGCTCGGGATCATGTGCTGCGGGCTCCTTTCATAAGCAGGGTGTCTTCCTGGCATCTTTCCTGTCTCTCCTTTTGAAGTGTCTGCCACAAATGCCATAACATAAACATGGCCTTTGGCTCTGAAAGGTACCATGCCTTCCTGT